AGGGAAATAGAATTAGTTTTTTCACAACATGTCTACCATGGAAGTGTTTTGCATAACTGCACATGTATAACCTATATTGAGTCGCTTGCCTTTTCAATGAGGGTAGGTGGGGAGGGAGGAAGGGAGAAAATTTGGAACCCAAAGTTTCAAAAACATATGTTTAAAAAAATGTTTTGACATGTAACTGGTAAATAAGAAATACAGGAAATGGGGTGAGGGATAAACTCAGTTTGGGCATTGAATACAGCACGGTTGAGGAGAGTCCTAGGAGGTTTAGGGGAAGTGTAGGTGTGTGCAGCTTTGCCAGAAAGCAGCAGCTTATCCCCAGGGACTAAGTCTGAGAAAAGGAGGGTCTAAGAGAGGGAAGAAGGAAGTGAATCACCCAAACTGAGTTTATCCCAGTTACAATTTACAAACAACCAACGTAAAAAATTTTTTTTTGCATAATTTTGTTTACTCTTCCCAATTCTTGTTCCAAAAGGGCATACGGGAAGGTCACTGTCAGTGAGGGTAAACAAAATATCACCTAAACATTGGAAACTTTTTTAAAATATAAATTTATTTATTTTTAGTTTTCAATATTTACTTCCACAAGACTTTGAGTTCCAAATTTTCACCCCATCTTGCCCCGTCACTTTATAGATGAGGAAACTGAGGCCCAGAGCAATTAAATGACTTTGTCAAAGTCAACATCTAAGTTAGATCATTAGGATAGCTTTGTACTTTTTCTCTCTGGAACTTTGCTTGAATCATGCTCTAGAGTGACTCACAGTGGAGTACAGTGAAATTCTAGGTGAGGATATAGCTTCATTGGGAGAAAGGTTAAACTGAAATGTCAGAGTGCATACTAGTTCTTTTTCCCAAACTATACTCTCTCTCTCCTTCCTTCTCTCTAGGTTTATCTAATTCCTATCCTAACTTCAGGGCCAAATTCAAGACCTATCTTTCTAGGTTGATGGAAATAGAGGGAGAAAATGGGTAAACTACTCCATCTTATTCTAAGAATTTAAATATTTTAAAGTTCACTGCTAGATTATAAGCACCATGAGGGCAGTGACCATGTTTTAACTCAAATTGAATCTCTACCAGATTCTAAAACAGTGCACTATGCACTTTAAGTGCTCCCAAAGTTTTTTTGCTGAATGAAAGAATTCATGTTACTTTACTATTTCCTCTCCTCCCCAATTCCTGCCCTTATAATAAGGTTATTCAACATTTATGTTAATTCTCCCTTAAATCTCCAGGTCCCTCAATTTCCTCAGTTTCCATGACCTACTCCTCTACTGCACAGCAGCCATTCATAGAGATGTTCAAACCCTGGGTCTCATTATTATTAACCCCAAATATTCTGTTTGCTTAGTTAAAAATTCTGACATTTCTGTCTCTGACCATAACCTCCCATGACATCATCCTCCACTCTTTCCTCCTTTCTTCCACATTCAGACAATATGATGGTCCTTCTCCCTGCCAAAGCTAATCCCTCTAAATATGCCTTTGATCCCATCCCTTCCTATTTTATCCAGCTGATTGGCCCCTCAGTCATCCTTCTAAACATAGTCTCCTACAATTCCATCCACTCTCTAGTCTTCAATCTCTATCTACTGTTTTCTTTCCCATTGCCTTCAAACATGCTCAAGTCTCTTCCATTGTTAAAAAAAAATCTCTCTGTCTCACCCTTCCTAAACCTAGTCTTCAATCTCAACATGGCATTCAATACTTCCACTCCTCATTACTTTCCCAGGTCATTACCCCTGCTCTGACTTCATTTTCCTTCCTTCTTAATAGTTAATTCAATTTCATACTGCCCTCTACCCTTGTATCTCTTGCCTCTCTGTCTTATCAACTCTGCCAAATCCCAGTCTTGGATATTTCCTATCATCTACTTCTTCTGCTCTTGTTCAAGTGCTTCAGAACAGATTAGAGGAAGTCATACAACTACAAACATGTTATCTAACTTCAACTGGGTCCTTGAAGTAGCAAGGTAATTCCTGTATTCATTTCAATTCAATAAATATTAAGCACCTACTATGTGCCAGGCACTGTGCTAGGTGCTGGGGATACAAAAACAGGTAAGGAGTTTACAGTCTAATGGGGGGGGTCTCATTGAACAATATGCAAACAAATACATGAAAAGCAAGGACAAATAGGAAATAATTGACAGAGGGAAGGCACTGGAATTAAGAGAGTTTGGGGAAGGCTTCCTGCATGAAGTGGTTTTTTTAGTTGGGACTTAAAAGAAGCCAGGGAGGTGAGTAGTAAGAGTAGAGGAGGGAGAGCAGTGGAGCCAAGAGGGACAGCCAGAGAGAAAACCCAAAGCTGAGAAATGGAATGTCTTGTTGGTTGACCAGCCAGGAGGCCAGTGTCAAAGAGTAGTGTTGAGGAGTTCCCCCAATTATTTCCTCAAATGATTCCCTACCTCAGTCCCCACAGAAGCTATTCCAAACCTTCTCCTTTTTCCTACAACCTCCTATATCTCTCCCTGCTCTCCCATTTTCTCAGTTGTATACCTTACCTCTTTATTGAGTAAATGAGGCCATTCACTTCTGCAGTTTTTTTCATTTCAAACCCCCTTGATGTAATCTTCCACTCTCTCCTCCTTTCTTCCAGGCTCTGACAAAGATGTAGTCCTCCCAGCCAAAGCTATTCCCTTCACATGCACCCTTGATCCCATAACTTCCTATTTTCTCCAACAGGTTGGTCTTTCAGTCATCCCTCTGACCACAATTTCCTACAAATTCTATCTAATCTCTAATCTTCAATCTTTCCCTATCTACTGGTTTCTTTTCCATTGCCTTCAAATATCTCATATTTAAAAACTCTTCACTAGACTCAACCATCCTCTCAGGTCACCATCCTGCATCTTTCTTCCATTTCTCAACAAAAATGCTAGAAAAAGCAATTTACCCCTCAGTGCCTTTACTGCCTTTCCTCTCACTCACTGCTTGACCCTTTGCTATCTGGTTTCTGAACTCATCACTCAAATGGAACTGTTATCTCTCTCAAATTATCATTGATCTCTTAATTGACAAAGCTGATGGTCTTTCCCCCCCCCCAATACTCATGCTTCTTGATCTCTTTGCTGCATTTGACACTGTTGAGCATCCTTTCTCTGGAGTCTTCCCTGGGACTCTCCTGGTTCTCCTATTACGTAAGAGCTCCTTCTTATTCTCCTTTGTTGACTCATACTTCATATAATATCCCCAAATTGTGGATGTTTCTCAGGGCTCCATCTTGGGACCTCTTGTCTCACTGCATTTTTTTCTCTTGGTGACTTCATCAGCTCCCATGTGTTTAATTATAATATCTGTGTGATAACTCAGAGATTTTTATATCCAATCTCAGTTTCTCACCTGAGTTTCAGCTCTATTTCAGTTCTATATAACCATTGCCTATTTAACACTTCAAATTGGATGTCTTAGAGAAATCTTGAAGTAAAAAAAAAAGTCTAAAAGACAACTGATTATCTTCCCTACCCCCACTCTGAACCCAGTGCTCTACCAGATTTTCCTGTTTCTGTTGAAAGTACTACCATTTTCCCAATCTCCACACATTCATAACGTCAGCATTAACTTGGACTCTTCACTCTTCCTCACCCTAAAACAATTAGTTGCCAAATCTTGCCATTCCTAGCTAGTTGTCACATTCAGCCCATTAAGTAAATATCTGGCCCTGTCATTTCCCTACTCAATGAACTCTATTGGCTCCCTACTGCCTCTGAGATTAAATATGAACTCCCCTTTTTGTATCTTAAAGACCTTCTCAACCTGACTCCTTACTTTCTAGCTTCATTGTACAATTACTCCTATTTCTGCACTCTATGATCCCACCAAAAGGGCCTTCTCTGTTACTCACATGATGCCACATCTCCATTCTCCATACTTGTTTATTAGTAGTCTCCCATGACTGGAATGCACATCCTTATCACCTCCACCTCATAGGATCCTTCACTGCCATCAAAATACAGCTCAAGATCCATTTTCTACAGGAGTCTTTCCTGATTTCCCTCAACTGCTAATGCCTCCCCTTTCTGAATGTTCTTCCTCCTCCTGTCCCTGACTTCCTTTAAGTCTCTCTCTCTCTCTCTCTTTTTTTTTTTTTGGCAGTCGAGGTTGACTTGCCCAGGGTCACACAGCTAGTAAGTGTCTGAGGCCAGATTTGAACTCAGGTCTTCCTGACTTCAAGAGTGCCACCTTGCTGTTCCTGCATCCTTTAAGTCTTAACTAAAATCCCACCTTCCTTAATCCCTCTAAATTCAAGTGCTGTGCTTCTTTTAATTATTTATTTTCTATTATTATTTATTTTCTATTTATCCTTTATATAGCTTGCTTTGTATTTATTTGTTTGTATGTTGACTTCCCCCAGTACAGGGACTGTCTTTTGCCTTATTTATTTATTTATTTATTTAGACATCCTCAGCACTTAGCACAGTGCCTGGCACATAGTAGGTGCTTAATAAATGTTTATTGAATTGAACATTGTATTTTTGTCTATTTATTAGGGACAGCTGGATGGTACAGAAGATAAAGTGCTGGGCCTGGAATCAGGAGGACTCCTGGAATCAGGAAGACTCATCAAATCTGGCCTCAGACCCTAGCTGTGGGCAAGTCACTTAACCTTGTTTGCCTCAGTTTCCTCATTTGCAAAATGAGCTGGAGAAGGAAATGGCAAACCACACAAGTATCTTTGCCAAGAAGACTCCAAATGAGGTCATGAAGAGAGATCACAACCAAAATGGTACGAGGAAGCAAGAAGGCCTGCCACCTGTCCTTACTGCCCCCTTTGCACCCAAGCTGCCTCAAAAGGAGTGGGCAGTAAAGGGATTTGAGGGAGGCAATCTGAAACAGGAAAGAGGTTGTCTAAGGCACAAACAAGAGAGGAGGAGAGGAGGAGAGAATGGCTACCTCTGCTGCTGAAGCTGCTGCCATAATTGTTAACTTGGAGAGGAGGAGAATGGTAAGATAAAAAGGGAAAAGACTATAGCTGAACAATATAGGACTTACCCAGAGCCAATGTAGAAAATTTTCCCTGTTTGCTAAAAATGACAATGATGAAACTCCGTTCCTTCTTTCTTTCTTTCTTTTTTTTTTTTAAGTTTGTTTGCTTTCTGTATTGGCCATGTGTTCTCAGAAAGAAACCACTTTTTATATGTATCCTTTGGAGGATTTAAAAGAGCATCAGCGTAGGAGGCTTCAGTCACACTGGGACACAGAGAGGAGGGAAATTCTCTTTCTAGTCCTTGGGATTTCTCACGAGTTTGGGGCTCTAGATGACCCAAAGAGATTTTTATTGATACATATTATTATAGTCCCTGAAAGCAGAGAAAAGATTAAATGAATTCAGACCTAATAGAAAACCTTGGCATAATCTGAGTCAGCTGTGTTCTGGTGGGGAAGCGACTTAGATAGTAGAAAGCTGTGGTCCTTTCCCTTAAAGGTAGTGACCTTGAGCAACTCTTCTCATATTCTTTCCTGTATAATTCCAGGAAAGAGTCCCATCCCCCAAAGGGCTGCTTCGAGTTCTTAATTAAGGGATAGTCCTGCCAATTGGGATGTCCAAAGGGAAGTATTTCAAAAGAGTGGCTCTGCCCATGCTCAGGAGGGGGTGAGAGTGTGGGAGCAGATAGCCTTTCCTTCTGCCAATTGCCTCCAAACCACCACCACCAATGTCAGTAAACTCAACAAAGGTTTATTAAGTGATTATCTTTGGGTATAAATATAGTGCTTGGTTACTGAGGATATGGAGATCAAAAAAACAGTATAGTTCTGATCCTCAACCACTTACTCTTAAAATTACACAAATATTTATGTTATAAAATAAAATATAATAGAAGCAAAAGAGAGATCCAGACAAAGTATTCTAGAAAGAGAGAGTACTTTCACTTGAAAAGGAGAGAAGGGATAAGGGAAATCTTCATGGAGGAGGTTGTGTCTAAATTGAGCCTTGAAGAAAGAAAAGGATTTCATTAGATGGAGATGAGGAAGGAGTGTATTCTAGTCATAGGGGAAAGCAGGAACACTCCATGGAGGTGAAAAAGTAAAAGACAAGTTTAGGTAGCACAGTTTGGCTGGAAAGGAGAGTTTATGAAATGGAATAGAGCGAAATAAGGCTATAACTCTAGGTTAGGACAACATTATGGAGGATTTAGATGTTTCCGTAACTTGACTATAAACTCTCTGAGGGCAGGGACTTTGTGTTATCCACTGCATTCAGTACAATGCATTCCATATATTAGGGATTCATAGATCTAGATCAGTTAGAATGGAAAGGAACCTCAGAGGTTATCAGTCTGAACACACACACACACACACACACACACACACACACACACACATAGCATGAGAGGATCTAGGTTCATATCCTAGCTCTGCTTTATATGTGACTGAGGACAATTAATTTCCCTTCTCTGGTCCTCAGTTTCCTCATCTGTCAAATGTATAGTACAAATCTAGTACAACTGTATTGGATGAACTCCAATGTCTCTTCCACCTCTAAGCTTCAAGATCATATGGTATAAGGTTGTAGCATTTCTCCATCATAGGTTCTCTGGTAAATTCAAATTCCCTTAAAAAGTAACTAGATATTGGGGCAGCTGGGTGGCACTGTGGATAGAGCACTGGCCGTAGAGTCAGGAGGACCTGAGTTCAAATCCAATCTCAGACACATGATACTCACTAGCTGTGTGACCCTGGACAAATCACTTAATCCTGATTGCCTCACAAGGAAAAAAAAAAGAGTAAAAAGTAACTAGATATGTCCTATTAATAAGCTTATGGTTTATCCTTCCAAACTAAGGTCAGCTTTCTCATCATACCACATAAAAAGGAAGGTAGGTTGAATATTTAAACATTGTGTTAATAAAGACTACCTTATTAAGACCCATTTTGAAATCACATAGTGAAATGAAAAGAACTCTTGAGTTCTTGAAGGACATGTTATCAGAGCACTAACTCTAGGACATCTTCCTGGTCCATAGCAGATGGTATACCTGGGGTTCAAGGACTAGCCTAGCTTCATGTGGAAGAAAAAGTTCAACACCAGAAGGTTGAACACCAATGCCTATTTATTGGGGTGGAGGGAGAGACAGCAACTCATAGCATGAGAGAGGCCTTGAGTTATCTATACTTATGAAGGAGTAGACAACTAGATATAATATCTATAATGTATAATAAGAGTATGGAAATACTGAAGTGAATTAAGGGGTTTCATACTGAAGTCTAGCAACTATGTCATATTTTTCAGTGTATTATATACTGCTTTTATAAAACTTGACTCATATAGAGAAGGGAAATGACTCAGAGATTTCTCAAATGAAAAGAAATGGAGAAGTATTTTGTAGGTGAAAGGGCAGGTATCAATTGCTGTAAAGCAAAAAAAGGGTTCAGAATGAGTGTAGAAGTAAATAGACTTAATCATTAATAATGTAGCATTCTCAAGAATACTTGTATCCTTTTCCCTGGGATTCTTTCCCTGAACTCAAATTCCTAGCAAGCTCTGTTTCAGTTTTCACAATGCTCTATCTTCCTCTGACAGTTCCTTCTATTTATTCTTAAAAAAAAAAAAAGCAAACAAAAATTCTCCTTCTCCAATATATTCCTCATACCCTTTTCATCATCTAATGCTCACTAAAACCTGATTTTCTTTTAGAATCAAAAGCTTTCTGGGAGGATAAGTAATATGAAAAGTGAATAAAAATTTGTATTTTTAAAAGCAACACTCCTATTCAGGCATTTTGTATTCCAGCCAAATTGTTCTCTTTCACACTTTACATTCTGTTGTCTCTGTATCAATAGGCCTTCCACCCCTCTTTGCCTATTGAAATCCTTCTTTTCTTTTAAGGGTCAGTCAGCTTAGGTGACAACTTCTGTCTTTAAAATTAATCCATCTTTGGTTTCCCTCAGCTGAAAATAATTTTTCCCTTCTAAGATTTTAATTGGGGCACTTTGTGTCTTCATCATCATATTCTGTTATTTCTTACTTATTTCTTCCAGTCACATATCTGTTATATATACATTGTTTCTTGATGGCAAGAACTTTGTTATTTTTCAGCTCTGTATGCCCACAGTATATCGCATGGTCTTGAAGGACTAAGTTTTAAAGCTTTCTTTTTTTTTTTTCCCAGATGAAACTTGAATTAAATTTTGTTAAACTGCTTAAGTATATCTATCATTCTGGGGATAATTTAGGTATAGATCTAACTGAATTCAATTTAACAAACATTTACCAGCCAGAGGAAAGGGATAAACCAGATGGCTTTTTACCTCTTGCAAATCCATATGTTTTTATTTTAAAAAATAGATATTTGGGGGTTGGGGTTCTTTACACACCTACATTCTTAACATTGATTCTGTATCAACAAAACCTTTGAAAACTTTTAAATTTCAGAGTTGCAAAATAAACCGTCCTCTATCAACAAGGAGAAGGGAAGGTCTTTGTTTTCATTTCTAAAAATTTCTCTCAGCCTGATCTAATTAATGTGCTCTCTATCTTTACCAACATACTAATGCTAATTTTCCCTAACACTCATCTGCCTTTTGAAAAATAACGGGAATAACATCGTTTGAATCATTGGTTTAAATACGATCACTGGTCTCCGGCAGAATGACCTTTGAGGCCATCTAGTACAACCCTCTTATTTTACAGATGAGAAAACTGAGACCTGGAGAGGTTTGGTGTGATTGTGTAACACATGCTTCGTTCATTAACTTCCGCCTCACGCATCGCACGTCGCTTCTTTCACTGCCTTAGTATTAAGGACGGCTATAGCTGTAAGAACTAATGAGACAAGGACTTCCCCTGCTGGACTACAGTTACTGACTCAAACAGGGCATAGAAAGGAATAACGAAGACGGGGGAGGGGTGTCCGAGACTTTGTCCGATGACGTAATCGTCCAGCCTTGGGCATCACGTGCTGGGGAGGAGGCCCAGGGGAAGTCTCGCGAATGCAGTGGGGGAGGGGCGTGGGAGACGCCTGCGTGGGTGGGATTTCTGTACTTATATTTAGCGGGGCCGACGGTCACTTAGTCTACCTTTAGGAGCGCGTCATCCTGTTGGTGGTCTGTGACACTCCGCTGCCGGTGACTCTCGCTTTGCCAGGTGCAGCTAGCCAGACGCCCCTTTCTAACTGTAGGTGAGTGCCGGGGAGATCGTCCCGGTCTGGTGGCGAGCATCAGATCCAAGGACAGTTAGTCTGGCTGTCTCCGCGGCGCCTTTGGGAGCTGTGTCCAGAGTCACGCGGGGCTGCCCAGAACCAGATCGGGGCAGCGGCGGATTGGGGAGCAGGGGGCGGGGAAGGGAGGGATAGGATTTCTCGGAAACAGTAGTAGGTTAAGTTCTGGGCACTTCGGAAAGGCTGGTGTGTGTCTCCTTTCCGTGGAGGTTGGGCCGGCATTGTGTGTCTGATCTTGCGTGGCGTTGGACTTCGGAGTGGTTGTTTGGATGGGCATCTCCAAGTCTGCAAATCTGGCCAAAGTGGCTATCAGTCAACAAGGATTCAGCTCCTACTATGTGCCTGGCATTGTATTTGATGATGGGAATACAAATATAAAGAAGGAATCAACCCCTACTGGTTTACATTTTAATGGGGAGAAGAGTACATATTAAATGTGTGTGTATGTGAGTGTGTGTGTAATACACACAAAAGGTACCCTGCATTGATCCCATATGTATATATGTACACATATCAGTGGTCCTGTATATACACACACACACACACACACACACACACACACACTCCAGAATCAAAGTAGCTAGGTACAAGATAGTTTGGGAAGGCACCAACATACCTGTAATGAAGAAGAAAATGCAAAGTTTAGGAAAGGGAGACCCCTCCCCATACTCCTAGTCCTTGGTCTTTAGGGGGTTGGGGAAAGCAGTGGCTCACAAACTGGTTTTTCTCCTCTGGGTGGCCTTAAAAATGGGTTTCAGTGATCACAGTTGGGAAATTAGGGTTGCTTTTGGCTGTCCTTGAAACCAGAATGTCTGCTTTTTGTCTTTAGGCTTTTGGGTTTGCAAACTGCTGTAGTAAAATTAGTTATCACTTATCTTTTTCATTCTTCCCTGAGGGTTAGGGAGCTCTCCTGCCTTGCAGCTGAGACTCCATCTTCTAAGAGAATGTTGGAACAAAAGCTTTACCATTGTCTCCCACAGATGTAACTCAAATTGTCTAAGGCAGGTGGAAATTTAGACACCACCTCATTTGTCACACACACACACACACACACACACACACACACCCCTCTCTTACTAGAAAGTTAGATTAGATAAATCTTAAAAAGGGTCTTGTATTCTACACATTGAACCCATCATTAAACTCAAGGGAGAGAGGCAGAGGTACTCTGGGTACCTGGGACATATAACAAGCCATTATGGGCATCCATCCTTCCCAGAAAGAATGCATGCTTGGTTCAGTTTCTGAATATTATAAATACTGTGCCTAGATATTGGGGAAGAGCAGGATAAACTGGTAGGCCAATGGAACAGAATATTTTGTTGTCAATTCCTAACTAATGTGAGTAACCATGGGAAAAATAATATAAATTGGGTAAAATTCAACTAGTGTTACAAAAAATACAGCAAAAAGCCCTTAAGTATACCCAGAAAAGAACTCATTAGGGGGAAACAGAACAAATTGTTCATCTGTTCATTGTTTTTTAAAAGAAGTCTAATTTTATGGCTTTATTTGGGGATTCAATTCTGTATGTTTAAATGCTATCTAATGAAAGTTTCAACTTGATGAAAACAGGACTCTTAAGATACAGCTAATTTGACTTTCTAGTAAGTAGCAAGAGTATCTTAACAACTAAGGTGATGTCCAGAGCTTTCTATTGAACACAATCAAGAGTCTTCAAAAACTTCAGGATATTAAAAAAAATTTCTTATTTCATATTCCTTCATTATCGATTTTTTTTTTGGAATGTAATAATCCAGTGTACTTCATCCCATTTAAGTTTTTTCCCCCGTTGCTGTCAACATGTCAGATCAGTGACCTCTGGAATTATCCTGAAAAATGAAACAATTTTTGACAAACCTTATCTTAATATGGGGAAACAGATATGTTCTAAACCTGTTAAAATATTCCAAGGATCTGATACACATCTGTCATCTCTCATTAGCCTTATGAGAATGAGTCCCTGTCTCTTTCTGTGTTAACACTCCTTCCTGCCAAGATTACACATTGTATTGGCAAGCTTGAATTTTCAGGCTAGATAGATTGATTGATTGATAAATAGAAAGAAAATTTCCTTATATTGAGGGACAGCTTTATTGTGGATTTTACAGTTGGTTGAAACTTTGCTCTTACCTTATATTCAATCAGTTGCCAAATCTTGTTGATTTCTAAATCTATACCATCCCTGTTTCAACTTACGTAGGCCCCTACTCTAATGTGTGCCTTTAACACTACTTGCATGGACTATTGTAATCACCTCCTCTTTGGTCAGAATTTCTGCCTAAATCTTTTTCCCACTCCAATCCACTCCTTCAAATAGCTGCTAAATTGCTTTTTCTAAAGTGTAGGGCTGACTGTGACACTTGTCCTACTCAGACTTCAGTGACTCTGTGCTTTCAGGATCAAGTATGTTGGGCCCCTTCCAGTCATCTTGCATCTTGCTCCCCACCTTTCACATTGCAATTGCAATCCAGTTCTACTTGGGACTGTTGAGAAAAGTGGGCTAAACCAAGCTATATATGTAAAATGTTTAAGTATTGAAGGTTGCCTCAGAGACCTGGTGTTTCAAAATGAATGCTTCTTATTTGCAGGTTCTGAGGATAAGACACTAAAATGGCTTCTGTTGCAGTTGATCAACAACAGGTATTTCTAAAAAATTCAATTCTCTTATCAGATTTGCATTCTTTTCCATTTCTCTTCCTTCTACCTTCAAATAGAGAAAGCAAGAAAAACAAAATACTTGTTACAAATATGTATAGTCGAGCAAAACAAATTCTCAGATTGGCCATACCTCAAAAAAAGGATCTCAATCTGCACTCTGAGTTCACCAGCTGTCTGAAGAGGTGAATGGCATCTTTCATCATGAATCCTCTAGGATTGTGGTTGGTTGTTGTGTGATCAGAGTTTCTAAAGTCTTTCAAAGTTACTTGTCCTTATAACATTGGACAACAGGTATGTTTTTGACTAGGGTTTCTACCACTTTCTTCTTTTCCCCTCTCAACACTTTTTCCCCTTTTAGGAAGACTTAACTGTTTTTTTTATCCTCCATTTTGGTTGCACAGAATGTGGTAACTAGAGTGGCCAACCTTCCCTTGGTGAGTTCAACTTATGACTTGGTGTCATCTGCTTACATCAGCACAAAAGATCACTATCCTTACCTCAGATCAGTGTGTGAGATAGCAGAGAAGGGAATGAAGACCATCACTATGGTGGCAGTGACCAGTGCTTTGCCCATCATCCAGAAATTAGAACCTCAAAGTAAGTCCTTGTGTGCTTAACACTGTATTGGTTCCAGTGATATAAGGAGGGAAGGGGGGCAAGAATTGTGCTAAACAAGTCGACTTGGGCAATAAAGGTCCTGAATATGTTGGAGATGACCAATGTTCCTTTTGTATTCCTGAGTTACATGATTCTTATTATTCTCAGCCCTCACATAAAATTCTACATTGAGTAGAAACAATGTGTTCTACTGGAAAGAGCTTTGGACTGAAGCAGGAAACTTAGATTCAGACTTGACTGATATATACTAGCTGGATGATGCCTCAGTTGCTTTACCTATATTTCAGGATTAATATTTATAAGACCTCTCTCCATTGGGTAGTTGGGAAGAAAGTGCTTTGAAAACTTTTGAAGTGTGAGGTGCTTGGGCAAGAGAGAGGGTGAAGGTGTAGGTACATGTACACATGAAGGTTTTGTTTGCTTTTTTGGTTTGTTTACTAATTTTCTTCTTCCTGGCCATTTCCTATCATTGTAAAGCTTCTTATTATGCTGCCTACCATGAACTTCCAATTTACTCATACTGCCCTGTATGCTGCTCCTCATACACAATACTCCCATCTCCTGTTCACCATGATGCCTTGGCACTGGTTGTCCCCCATGCTTGGAATGTTCTCCCTTCCAACCTCATGACTTTTAGAATCCCTTGGCTTCCTTTGAGATTCAGCCCAACACCACCTGTTCTAGGAAGCCTCTCTTGTTCTATGCTCCCCATCCCCCAGCTGCTAAAGCCATCCCCTCTAAGGTACCTTCCAGCTACTCTGTATTTTCTGTATTATATGTTTTACAACACACACATACATGTACACATACATATATGTGCTTATATGTGTGTATATATGTGCACATGCATAATTTATTACAGTATTGTGTACACATTTGCACTATGTGATGTGTGTATCACATTTTCTCCATTAGAATAGAAGGTTTTTGAGGGTAGGGGACCTAATTTTTTTGTTTATTTTGTTTTGGTTTCTGGTATTTTTAGATATCTCAGGAACTTAAAAAGTGCCTGGCACATAGCACTTAATAAATGCTTGGGGCTTTTTAAATTTTGTTCTTAAACTAATTATTGGTGTTGGCTTGGTGTAAGAACAGTATAAAACAGACTTAGGGAAATTGAATTTTGAGGTTGCCTGAGTATTCCTTGATTCCTAAGATTCCTTGAACAAGATAGTTCAGTTGAACCCTGGTTTAACTTTAGGACAAAAACTTGCAGTATTGTTGATCTCTGTAAGGCAAGTTAATGAAGCCTAATATTAAACTTTAACATAGTCTACCTATTTACTTTTTCCCTTTTTCTTGGCAACTAAGTTATTATTATGTCCTGGCCCATAGATAGAACTCTGTTGTAAACTTGGGTGTTTGTGGTAGGTTGGGATGGTCAGGGGAAACAAAGGTTATAAAAACTTTAAATCTAGCAAGTTGTTGGATGAAAGTTCAAAGATCACTTAATTGGTTTCCCCTTTGCATCAGAGCTTGCATCTTAACACTGTCTCTACTACCTCTTCCATCTAGTTGCAGTTGCCAACAACTATGCTTGTCTAGGATTGGATAGAATTGAAGAAAGACTGCGTATTCTGAATCAGCCAACAGATAAGGTAAGCTCCTCTAGGATAGGTGAATGGGCTTTCCATACCCTATTGGGTGACTGGGTGGAGAAAGGCAGAGATTAGTCCTTTATCAGGACGCCTGGACAGTGCTTAGCTCCTTTTTCTTCCTCTTCACGTGGATATTGAGTTCCCACTCTTTTGGGGATAAATTTCAGAACTTTTATATCCTATGGACACCTAACAGTTCCATGACATCCTTTCACAGCGGGGCAAGCCCCACATACCACCACCTCATAATTCCTATCTCTTAACAAAATTGATATAGTCTTGGTCAAGCACTGTAATGGCAATGGTGTAGTTTCAGGATCGTAGTTACTTTGTGGTCCTTATAGAGGCCCAGTGCAACAAGACAGTGGATGAATGGTTGGCAACAGCAGAAGGAATGAGGGAGCATTAAACTGTGGGCTAAAGGTTATCTTAAGAAAAAATCTGATAGTCAACTGCTTATGTAACTTCAGATATGTCAGTTACACTTAAATTGGTGGCTACTTTAAACTTTTTGTTCAATAGTATGGGGCATATTTTTAGAAAATGTTAGTAGATTTAAAGGAAAAGTATCAAATATTCATAAGATCTGTCAAAAGGAGAACTAAGCAACTTTGCTCTCAAGAGAGGAAGATAGTCATTCCTTTGTTTTAAAAAACATAACACCAACATGTGAAACCTAATCTCCAAGAAATTTTATCTGAAACAGTGGCAAACTTGACTTAAATATTTTTATTCCATTTGTCCCAAAAGAACAATAAATAGTAAGTGGTAAATATAATGCCTTAAACAGGAATGTCACATCCACTGTGACTTAAGACTATTCCTTGAAGAAAGTATGGCATACTATAGGACTAGTGTTTCTAGGCCTTTGCTACTTTGTTATACAACTATGAATATTATTTGTGTATTATTGCCATGTAGAAGACTTGATTTTTGAGTTAGATTAGAACCTGGGCTGTCCTACTGAATTGCTCAAGATCCTCAGAAAATTTTTTTACTGTCTTAGTTCTCTTTCCTCTAAAACAAAAAGGTGGCAGTACAAAAATGAACTCTAAGGTTCCATCCCATTCTTAATTTTATGATCTTTCATATGAGTTTCTTTAACAATCTATATCTTAATAATTTAAAAAATTGTTGGGAATTTTACAAATATTTATATTTCCTTATACAAAGAAAAGGATTGCATATGACACCATAAATTAACTTGGGTATTTCCAATGCTGCTGTCCTTATGAACCTCCTGTTGTACTCTCTTGTCTTTGATATTTATATTCTTATCTTCCTATTCACAAGCCAAAAATAAAAGTTCTCCCTTTATAAGCACACAATTCTACACAACTAGCCAAGTCTGAAAGTGTATTGTCCTAATAACTTTGAGCATCAGTTGATCAATATATTTCTAGTGTCTTCTGAAATAGATAAGGTCTTGAGACCTAGATGCAGTTGCTGTTTTTAGACTGTTAATTATCCCTCTGACAATCTTTGGAGTAGTTATGAAAGATCCCCCTTTTAAAGAAATCCTATAACTAGGTGACCTTTCTGTGTGTACCTCTTTGAGATGCACAAATGGTTTTCAGGGCCCAAAAAAGCAAAGCAAAAGAAAACCCTAAACCTATGGAGCCAGGTTATAGCCTATTTCTCAGAAGTTTCCACAGTATGCCAGAACAGAAGGCTTCCCTTCCTGCCAAATGAAGTATAGTATCTTCCTCACATGAAGGTCACATCCCTGACATTCTCTATAATTTAGAACCTGGAAGTTAGCAGTAAATGAGAAACCTCAGAACAGGCAGAAGAGAGGTCACAAAGTTTGTGCAAGGGACACTTATGCCTTCTATGTACAGATTGCTCAGGTCCTTACTAAAAGCTTATCATTTTGGATCTACTAGGCCTGGCTTTTGGCTTCCTAGATTACTGTGGCTTAAAGGTGATGGATTAGAAAGGGCCAATACAGGCCTGTGAAAAGAAGATTCACAGAAGGCTGATAGAAAATATAAAAAGTGCATTGTAAGGGGCAGCTGACCAGTACTCATTGCCTCTGCTTTCTCACTACCATGCATCCTTTGGCCCCTTGGAGTCTAGTTTCTAGAAGCCTACCACTGTATTAATCCAGCTTTTTACAGTCACTTACTAGCATTAAATCCAGTGTTTGGTTTTTTTTCCTTTCATCTTCCTTGACCCTGATGGTAAGACATTTAGGACCACCCTTTCATCCTTTCTCTTCCTATTACACTCTTAAACTTATTCCTTCTGTCTGCTTTGCTAGTGTCTTCTAAACTCACAAATGTGGGTTTCAAGCTTCTGTCTCTTGACTTTTTCTTTTCTCTGTTATCTCCTTCAATGATCTCATCAATTCCATAACTTTAGTTGTCACCTCTGCAGATGACTCCAAATTATAGCTATCTCACCTCAGTTCCTTGTTTTGACTACATGCTCAAAAAATATGTATATCTTGAATTTCCAGGAATGTGTCCATAATGGGAATTAACTCTTCTCCCCAATTTCTGTTTCTGTTGATGTTAACCACCCTTTCCCCATTTGCTCCGATTTCTAATCTTAGGTTAACATCTCTGTATGAAAAATATTGTCTCAGTTCTTCTCCCTCATTTTGTACATTAGTTGCTGACTCTTATCAGTTCTATCTCTGCAGTATTTTTGATATGCATTCTCAAAATGGTCACCTTACCCAGGCCTTCATCTCTAGTCCTCTGTATGGCCTTTTAACCAAATCTTCTTGCCTATTGCCTATTCTTTTGAATTCATCCTCAACATTGTTGTTTCCAAGTGTTTCTTTTTTCTTATTTATCATCATAATCATATTCTTCATCTGTTCAACTTCTAGGCAAAATAGACTCTTGATTTTGTCATTCAGGAGTCCCTGAAATATGGCTCCAAGTAAGAACTGTCCAGCAAACTCACTACTTTCATTAATTCTAGCTAAATTGAACTTCCTCACTCCTTTTTCATTCTGCCTTCCATGCCTTTCCCCTCCCGCTTGTTCTTAGGTTAGACTTGACTTTTTCCCCCTCTTATTTCAAGGCCCAACTTTGCTACTACTTTCCATGAATGCTTTCTTTGCATTCTCTCTCTGCTGTAACCCAACTAACACCCACAACTGAAAATAACCCTTCATCCTCAAACTAAATTCTGCCTTGTCTACTCCTCTTTATTTGCCTAGGTTTAAGAGAGGAGGTATTCATATACATACATGTCTCTTCTTCCTTCCCTTTCTCCCCCTAATAATCTCCCCTCTCCCAGAAACATAAGTTTCTTAAGAGAATGAGTTTATCATCTCTATATTCCTAGTGCAGAATCTTATTCATAGTTGGTGCTTAATAGGTCTTTGAGTAATCTTTTCCACCACCAGCTCCTAGGATTATTTAAAATTAAAAATATATTATTTGTGGCACCACAGTTGTGAATAAAGCCGTATAGGTTTGATTCAGTTTCTAGACCACACTCATTTTTTCCTGTGAATTTGATCTTATACCTTTAATGCAGTGGCAAAAGCTATTAATCATGAATCTAGTTTCTAGTGATTTTCTTACTCTTATTTTCAGAGGGTTTAAGGCTCCAGGGGTGGGGAACTTGCGGCCTCAAGGCCACATGTGGTCTTCTTGGGTTTGGCCTTTTGACTGAGTCCAAGTTTTACAGAACAAATCCTTTTATTAAGGGGATTTGTTCTGTGAAGTTTGGATTCAAAGGGCCACACTTGAGGACCTAGAGGTCCACGTGTGGCTTTGAGGCAATCTAACTCATTTTCACCTAACATGAATTAGGACTTTTATTTTGAGACTAAGCCGTTGAAGTCTTACTGTTAGATGTTTCCAGACAGTTTCTAATCTGAGAAGGATTTATTTGGAGTTCTTTAAATGTTAACCTCAATCCAACTACTAATAAGTTTGTTTAGAAAAGAGGTCTCTGCTTGGCCCAGCATAGCCAGACTGTTTTTCTCAACCTAAGTATTGTAATTGACCCTGAAGTCAAAGGTATCTAAGCTAGTTAAATTATTCTCCTCCCAGCTGGAAAAATCACCAGCTTTCTTCACTAGCCTTTAAGGTGATTAATGGTTTCAGAGGTACCTAAAGTGATTTTTTTTTTAAGCTCATCTGCTCTTGGCCTTTGAATGACTAAATAAATGTCTTAAACAGAGCAAGGTTCTTTCCTTGAATGTCTCTCTGCTTCTAATATAAATCCCTTGTGGGGAAATTTGAAAAAAAAACCCTAGCAATAAAAAACAAGTCAATTTTTAAAATGACTATAAGATAATAGGACAAAATACAGTTTTTTTGTGGCAACATGATGAGTGATTGGACTGGGTCATGTGCTACGTTTTGCATATTTTTGCATCTTGTACAGTCTACTCAAAGTATTTTAAACATAAAAAAGATTAGACGTCTCATAGAAATTGATTGTAATGGGTTTCAGCTTCTGTTTATATTTTGTCTCTGACCACTAGCTTAGTGATTACTTGGATTTTTATACCTCGGTTCCTCTGAGTAGAGATACTTTTACCTGATTTGCTGTATAGGAATGTTGTACTATTGACCAAATTGTTTGGCCATGAGCTTTTCAAAAGCCAGAGTCAAGCTATTTCAGAGGGCTGTGTGTAGGCACTTGGCCTGTGGGATAACTTGTACATACCTAGAAACAGAGAGTCAAGAGCTGGGGCCTGATGCTTTTAATGGCTTACATAGACAAATTCCTCATTAGACTGTGATACAAAGACATGATATGTAATAGAGCCTTTAAGGTCTCTGGGTCAGAAGACATGGGTTCAAGTCCAGCTTCTGCAGCATGATGGCCATGTGACTCCAAATAATTCACTTGGTCTTGGTAAGTTGCCAGAGACTGAAAGTTTAAGCTTCGGGAATGCTTGCTGGTAGAAAGGGTTCCTTACAGGGAGTTTTCTGTGTCAACAGAACTGCAGGTCTCAACTAGAAAATAATTCATAAACCTTAAAAGTGTCATAGAAATGTTTGGTGGTGGTTTCTTTGTTTTGTTTTGTTTTCTAACCTAACCTGGCTGAGGAGTCCTCATAGCCTGCATTATTAGAATACTTTCACCAGTGAAGATCACAACTCCTCTATACTTTAAATGGATTGGAATTTTGGTGGCCAACCTCCTAGGGATGAGCCTTTCTCCATTTAACTTGTCTGTTGTAGGCATGTAGACTCTCCTCAGGGCTGGACTTGAATGAAACTTGTTGAGCTTTTGTTGTTGAATTATTTCAGTCTTGTCTGACTCTTTGTGACCCCATTTAGGGTTTTCTTGGCAAAGATACTGGAGTGGTTTGCCATTTCCTTCTCCACACCATTTTACAGATGAGGAAAGAGGCAAACAGGTTTAAGTGACTTGCCCAAGGACATACAGCTAGGTCAGATTTGAACTCGGGAAGATGAAAGTCTTCTTGACTTCAAACCCAGCACCCTATCCATTGTACCACCTACCTGCCGGGGGGGCCTCCCCCCCCCCCGTTGAGCTTGAGGGAGTCCAAACTTGTGCCACTGATTGAACTTAGGAAATGGTGTCAATTCCATACCATGAAGCATCTAACACTTGATTTTCTAAATAACAGAGGCTGTTAAACACTTCTTCTCTTAATCTCCAAAAAGAAAAACTTCCTTTGCAATGTAATACCTATTTTTTAGTATGGTGTCAGGTCAGTACTCTTTTTAGCTGTCTTCCCCTTATGTTAGAATTTTTATCTCACCGACATGGGGGGTAGAAGGACCTTCTTAGCTTCCTAACTTGGATTCTTCCTAGACAAGGGAGAATGAGGGTCTGTCCTCTAGAACTATGGTCTTATATAGAGACTGGTCTAGCACATAGGCATAAAGGAAGTAGGAGCATCTTCTAGACTACAGAACTGAGCTTCTTAACCTTTTTTGTGTCATGGGGAAGCAAAGGGGAAAATAATTTATGAAGCACCTATTTTGTGGCAAGCACTGTACAAATATCATCTCATTTGTTTCTCAAAACAGCTGGGGTGGGGGGAGGTGCTAATATCCCCATTTTACTGCTGAGGCAGACAGTTAAATGACTTGCTTAGTGTCATACAGCCAGTAAGTGTCTGAGGCTGGGTTTGAACTGGGGTATTCCAGATTCCAGGCCCAGTGCTGTCCTTTGTGCCACCTAGCTGACTCCCTTTGGCAGTTTTAAAGCTTATAGATACCTTCTCAGAATGTTTTTAGATGCATAAAATACAAAAGACAATGAAAGAAGCCAATTATATTGAAATACAGTTATCATTTGTATTTTCAAATTCTTCCCCTTCTGTCCTTTTCTTACCAGTTGAGAAGGCAAGAAATAGAATACCCATTATACATATGAAGTCATGCAAAACATCAAAATACACATATTTTTAAAAGTTCATGGACCCTAGGTTAAGAATCTTGGCCTAAGAGCTAGCGGATTCTTGTGTAGTCCTGTATGTAGGTCTGTCACCCACAGGGAGAGATCTGACTTTTGCTGTCTCTAAGAATCTAACTCTCAAATTTGTCTGAGTCTCTTATCATGTCTGTCCCACCATGACTTCCAGTCTGTCTTTTTCTAGCCTCCCTTCTCTTACTTGGAGAAGCATCTTTAACTTGAAGTCAAATGACTCTCCTCTTCTTCTAGGTTGTTGCCAATGCCAAGGGTGCAGTATTTGGTGCAAAGGATGCTGTAACAACAACTGTGACCAGTGCCAAGGATTCTGTGACTCACACTATTAATGGAGTTGTGGGCAGAACAAAAGGAGCAGTTAATGACAGCGTGGAAATGACCAGGTCTGTAGTGAATGGAGGTATCAACACTGTCTTGGGAAGTCGAATGGTACAGATGGTGAGCAGCGGAATTGAAAATGCGCTTAGCAAGTCAGAGTTGCTTGTGGATCAGTATCTTCCGCTCACTGAAGAGGAACTAGGTAAGATCAGATCTATTGGTACTACCTTAGAGAAGCTTCTTTTAAAAGTTTTGGGTGATTTTAAAACTCCAAATTGTACAAATCAATATAGAGTTGAATTTTAGGGGGCGGGGAGTAGTAGGGGTGGAATAGGAGTGGATTATGATTTCTGTGAATTACAAAATAGTCTAACTCAACTAATTATTAGCATAGTGAGGAAACGAGCCTGGAGTTAGGAAGACTTAACTGTTCACGTTTGACCCTCAGACACTTTCCAGCTATATGACCTTGGGCAACTCTCTTAATGTGACTTGGGCACATTGTTACTCTGTTTTGGGCAAGTTACTCTGTTTTGCTTCAGTTTCCCCAACTATCAATGAGGCTAATAACAGCTATGTTGAATGGGTTGTTGTGAGGATCAAATGAAATATTTGGAAAAAGCTTAGAGCTCGCGTGCGTGGGCGCACACACACACACACACACACCCACACACATGCATGCACAAGTGCCCGGCACTTGTAGTAGATACTATATAAGTGCGAGCTGTCATTATTGTTGTTATGGAGTTGGAACACTTGGGTTCAGTTCCCAGGCCCGTATTTACTGAATGTGATAGGTCATTGAATTCCTGGACTTCTGTTTTATTTATCCCTAAAATTGAGGGCATTCTACCATATTTCAGTCCTGTGATCTTAAATATACACAGTTCCTACAGACTGACAGTGAAACTAATTTAGACTCTTCTCCTCCCTCCCCAATCTCTAATTTCAGAAAAAGAAGCAAAGAAAGTTGAAGGGTTTGATGTGGCTCAGACACCAAGTTACTATGTTCGTTTGGGATCTTTGTCCACCAAACTCCGCTCACGTGCCTACCAGCAGGCCTTAAGCAGGGTTAATGAAGCCAAACACAAAGGCCAAGAGACTATTTCTCAGCTGCATAACACTATGAATCTGGTAAAAACCTCTTTTTATAAGTTTTCTAGCTATAATTAATAAACTAGTTGGGAGGGGTAGGATGGAATTACTTCCATGGGTAACTTCATTTTCAGCCCTGTTGCCTCTAGGTTCAAATACAAAATTTCTCTTATAATTTAAAGCACTTGACAATCTGGCTCCAACCTAGCACTGCCAGTTTGTCGCTCTTCATTTACCATGTTGCATCTTCATGCCTCTGCATGGGCAGTCTGCCTCTCCCCCAACCTATCTATCCATTGCATATTCATAGGGCTCTCCATTATCTCACCTAGCTCCCACCTTCTTTATTCCTCTTAGAATCTTCACCTCTTGCAAAACTCAGCTCAGATGCTACTACCTATGCTACTCCTACCCCCTTCCCCATATTACTTTTATTAAAATATAAGCTTCTTAAAGGTAGGAATTATGGGTTTTTGTGTTTTGTCTTGGTATTCTGAAAGGCTAGCACACTTATAGGTACTACTTAAATACTTGATGCTTGTTGGAAAAACTTGATTGCATTCAAATCAGACTGTTGGGAAGAATTTAGTGATAGATGTATACCTCCACTTAGCTACTTTATTTTCTGTTACACAAACTCCACTTTAAAAACAGTTTAAATTTCAAAATTAATGTGAGTTTTTGGCTATTTGCTTCAATTCTTAGCAGACTATAAACCCTGCTTGTATTCTCAGGACAGGTCACAATAACCTGTTATTTTAAGCCATAATTCAGCTGAACCATTAATAGGCCTCGATTTACCTGGATCTCTGGCAACTAGAGGCCATGTAGTGTGGGAGGCAGAAAAGGCTTCTCCTCCCAAAGCCCCCAGGTTATTTGCTTTTTAAAAGAACATTAATCAAAAAGAAAAATATGGCATGGGGAAAAAGTGCTTGGGCAGGATATTCTAGTAGGTAGGCCAACCCATGAAGGATAACAGACTTCCAAAATTGCTCAAAACTTTATCTATACCCTTTGCTGCCTTACCTCTGTCCCTACTCAGTTCCAGATTGAATCATTTTTATAAAGCAAAGTTCTTTAGCAACAGTATTCACTATGGTGACCACATCTGATAATGATGCAGATATTTTTTTCCTTTGGACATCCTATTTCTCTTCTAGGAGTGGGAAAGTATTTACGTTTCATTATCTCTTCTCTGGGACTTTATTTTTTTTTCCTAGTTAGTCAAGAGTTCAACTTAATTCGAGTGATTATTTAATTTACATTGTTAGAGGGCATTGCATATGTATTCTTGGTTCTGCTTATTTCACTCTTTATCAGTTTATACAGACCTACTCACATTTCTCTGAATTGCTCATTGTTAGTATTTTATTACACAATAATATTTCATTACATTGAGCAATTCTCCAAGCAGTGGACATCTACTTTGTTTCTTATTCATTGCTACTGTTGAGTGATCTTGGTATTTTGGTGTATATTGGACCTTTATTTTGGTTTTTGGTTTCTTTGGGCTATACCCAGTAGCAGGCTTGCTGAATCAAAAGCTATAGGAATGAGTCACTTTCCTATATAATTAATTCCAGAATGATTGGGCCTTTCATAGATCTACTCACAGTACATCAGTGTTTGTCTTCGCACAGACAGTTCAGTATTGGTATTTTGCCATTTTTGTCTTTGTGAATTTATGTGGTCTATAGCAAAACTCCAGTCATCTTAATTTGCCTTTTTTTTAACAGTTATTTGTAGCATATCTGTAAATGGTTGCTTATCATTTAACTCATCTTTTAAAAACTTTTCATATCTTTTGACTACTTTATTGGAGAATGGTTCATGGTATTACATACTTTAGCTAATCAGATTATTTTTTTTGTATAATTGGTACTTATGCCACTTAAAGTGACAATTTGCCCTTATTCTATGTCAATTGGAACAAATACCCATGGACTATATTGGAATCTTATTTTTTTTTTCACCTGAGTTAATGTTAAACAAATGTATTGGTAATGAATGGCTTAGGTAGTATTCTTAAAACATATATACAAGGGCAGCTAGATGGTGTAGTGGATAGAGCACTGGCCCTGGAGTCAGGAGGACCTGAGTTCAAATCTGGCCTCAGGCACATAACACTAGCTGTGTGACTCAGGTCAAGTCACTTAACCCCAATTGCCTTACCAAAAAAACCAAAAACATATATATATACCAAATTGTTGCCATTCTACCAAGTTTAAATTTAAACTGTGGAACAGGCAACATTATGAATTCTGATGAATCCTAATCACAATTCACATGAAAACTATTCTAGATAAACTTTGTAACCCTTTAAAGCTTACTTCAGTGTGTGTCTTTTTATTTTGTATGTTAATATCTTTTATGTCTCTCCTTAATTTATGTAAACAGTGGTGGTGAATTTTATGGATTGTTATCTTACCAATAAACTATTTTAGTGAAATACTTTTGAGTGCCTCAAAAGATACAGGTAGGAAGAAGCATAGTTAAGCAGAAAGAAAACTGGACTGGAAATCAATCCTGCCTGTCTATAAAAGTTTTCTATTCTCTGGTCTTCAACTTCATCACTAGACTTCTAAGGCTTCTTGTAACACAAAATTGCTTAATTAGAAAATCACTCTATTTCTTCCTAGATTACATGAAATTCCTTCTCCCCCACCACCACAGGGTGCCCTCCCCCCAAAAATAAATTGAAAAGCACTGGATTATCTATAACCTTTTATATAAGGTCCTCAAATTTTTTGAACTTCTAACATTTCTTCGGGGCCCACCTCTACCTCCACCCCGTGTATCTAAATCTGGTATAAACTTTCATTTTTAAAGTTCATAAACATTAATGCCCGACCTCTTAGTGGATTCCCGAGTTCATGATAGTCCTGTTTCTACTCTAAAATGTCCATTTCTAATCCTGTGCAATACAGATAGAGTTTGCCAGGAAGAATGTTAATAGTGCCAACCAAAAACTACAGGATGCCCAGGATAAGCTATATCTCTCTTGGCTGGAATGGAAGAGGAGTATAGGCCATGATGACAGTGATGAATCCCACTGTGCTGAGGTAAATGACAACTCGGAGTAAAACAGATGTTTTATTAGAAAATTCCTTAGTAAATAATGTAACTCATATAATCTAATTTCTCTATAGCTTTTTCTGGAGGGTTGTGTACTCTAATACTAAAGGTTCATACAATTTTGTTGACACTGCCACTTTGGAGTTTCTCCCTTAGTTTTGGTCTTCTGTACATATAAGATAATGGTTCTATAGATCCAACAGCTTACTTTCTGCTTATTTATGTTCCTCCATGGATTATTGCTTCTCATTGTTAAGGAGGAACTCCAGGGTTTTTTTATAATATGTATTCATATGTATTCCTTGTAATATATGTTATGTCATTCTCTTATGTTTCCAAAGAACAAAGTGATTAATTTGAGTTGTGTTTCTTTTTTCTTTCTTCCTTCCCTTTCCCCCTTCCCTAGCATATTGAATCCCAGACTCTGGCTATAGCTCGGAACCTGACACAGCAACTCCAGACCACCTGCCTTACTCTTATGTCCAATATCCAGGGTCTACCCCAGAATATTCAAGACCAAGCCCACCATGTTGGGTCAATGGCTGGTGAAGTCTGCTCAGTATTTCGAAATGCCACTTCCTTTAAGGAAGTATCGGATGGTCTCCTCAGTTCCAGCAAAGGGCAGCTACAGAAAATGAAGGAGTCTTTAGATGACCTGATGGATTATGTTGTTAACAACACTCCTCTCAACTGGCTGGTAGGTCCCTTTTATCCTCAGCTGGCTGAATCTCGGATTGCTGAGCACCAAAGTGAAAGGCAAGAAACATCCAGCCACGAGGACAAACAGCTCGAACGCAGCACAGCTTAACCTTTTATGTGACGTTATATTCTTCTGCCAGCTAGACACTGTGACTGTTCTAAGTTAAAAGTATCATGCTGCAAATCATTCAAAATTGGGGAGGGGTAGAGCTAATGCACCACCATCCTGTCCCAGTTCTAGAGAAGTGACAGCCTTAAACTTGCTAAAGAATGGAGTTTAAATTTTAAATGGTTTTGGCAACTTACTGTAGGGAATTTCCAGTGCTTATCTGGCTGGCTGTCAAGTTCTGTCTTTGCTATGTAAAAATGGGAGAATTGGGTGTTGGAGCCTGCCGAGAACTTGCTAAACAGTACAACTACTTAAGGATTTGCTGGAGCTAGAAGTAGCCCTACCATCTATTCTGGCTAAGCAGCTGTATTATATAAATAAACCATCATAAAAAAACTATTGCCAGAACTAGTATACTTGTTGGGGCCCTTTTTAGATTGGGGTTTCTTACTATTTCTCACCTTCCCCTCTTCCAGTTATGTGAGTGCTTTGGCAATTTTATTTTGACCTTAAAACTTTTTTTTTGTTCTAAATAATATTGAAAAGTAATAAAAAGTTTCTTACCAGTATATATCCTCAGATTCATGCTGTTTGTTCTGGGTGCTTTGTGTCTGGCCTTCTATAAAGCTTATCAGATTTGTTCCTGATAAAGCATGAAGCTGGCTGGTTAAATTATGGGACAGCTGCATATTCAAAAACTATTTAAGTGGTTTTTAATAGTGAAAGGTTGGAAACATTTCAGAAATAGTTATGGCTCGAGATCACTGTCCGTTTCTTAACGTCTAACAGATGGACTGTTAGTTGTTTTTTTTTTTCCTTTTAATCTATGGAATGGGATCTTTGTAGTTGATGAGTTACTCTTACTCAGACCTAGGGCAGAAGATGCCAAAGCTGACATCTCATTGGAACTGTGGGGAGTTTGGGCCCTAAATAAGAAGGGGTCTTAGTGCTTAGAGAAATTCAGGAAATTATTTAGTACTCTAGTACTTAATCTCTTTCAGGGGTAGGAGTGGTGAGGGGGGTTAGTCACTTAACCCTTGGTAAGAATCAAAATTAAGGACCTTTTAAGCACTTCTACTTCATTATTTCATTTTCATTTTCAATTTCCTATTCATATTCAACAATATTCATTGTTACCTATTAATTATCTTCACCTTAGACTGAAACTAACTTAGCATTAATGGTAAGCACTAGAAAAGATTGACTTTTTAACTTGGAGAACCAAAATGTTGGCATTTCTAGCTTCCACTGAATATATTGGAAAATACTTGGCATTTTTTTCTTTAGAAAGTGATTAATGAAAACTTTTTATGTAGAGAAGAAGGTACCATAGGGGCACCTAGGTGGCTTAGTGGATAGAGCTCTGGCCTTGGAATTAGGAGGACCTGAGTTCAAATCCAGCCTCAGACACTTGGTACTTAGTAGCTATGTGACCCTGGGCAAGTCACTTAACCCTGATTGCCTCAGCAAAAAAAAAAAGGGGGGGGGAGAAAAGGCAGCATGGTATAATAGCAAGGAATTCTGGATGTGGGATCAGACCTGGGTTCAAATTCTATTCATGAGCCATGTAACTTTGGGTAAATCTCTGCCCCATTTTGCTGACGTAGAGGTACCTTCCTCATTGACTCTTGTTGGAAAGATGAGAAGAAAAGTTGGCTAAGAGCTTTAGGTACACTAGTGCTTACTTAACATTTTCATAAATAGTAGCAGAGCTGCTACTGTCTCCTGTTCCTTCCCAGTTATCTTCTAAGATTTGTTTTTTCTTGTTTCAGGTGCCTACCTTGACAAAATTAGGAAAGCTTTGATGGTTATTTTATGTGGGTAGACAGGGTGAATGAATGTCAAAGTGTAAATAATAGTACCCCCCCCACACACACATACCCTGCCTTTTCTTAGACATAAAGAGAGATTTCTGAGTTAGAGAGTTGTATTTTACATAACCTAAATTTGCCCCATTAACTCCCCACCTTTTTCTTCTGCTGGTCCCTAAGGTGACAGAACTAGAACAAATCTAATTGTTCATGTGACAGCCACCACCATTCTGCTTTAGCAATACTTTTAATAGGTATAGTCTAAGGACATGTTTTGATGTTGATTAGACACTAAATCCATACTAGTATATGCCAGCAGCTGGCATGGGTGTAAGGCAAAGCAGTGGGAAGAAAGGAGGAGAAAGGAAAGCCGGGCTAGGCGAGTGTTAGGTTGATGCTCAAGACTAGTTTATTTCAGGAGTTTTCTCATTATATACTCATTGAAAAACAACTTTGTATCATAAGAAATGATTTACAAGTTCTGTGAAGTGCTATTACTAACATACACAAACTAAGCAGCTAAAGATCATCTTTTTCTCATGGGAAAAGTTACACTGCCAAAGTTCATATCTATTGTTTTCCTGCCCAGTTCTTAGTATTGTCTGCTTTGAGTCAGCCACCTGGCTTCAAGGCTAGTCATGAGTAAGGACTTGGGACCAATGATCGGTAACAGATAGGAATTGGGGCAAAAGTCAAGGGAGCGTTTATCCTGAGGCAAGCCTCTGTATGTACTGACCCCTTAAGTCACTAAGGACTTAGAGATTTTCCATAGGGACCTGGCTCCCAACAAGTATAATCTACTTGTTTTATTTTATAAGGCTGATAATTTAGTCCACAACTACATATAAGGCAGAGCACTCTAATATATAATCATGAGATGATAAATGCTAAGTTAGGAATCCTTTATGTACAGCTTAGTGGATTTTAGTCTGACACCATAGCACTACCCCATGTTGCTTGTTATAGTAGTGCTGGACCTAAAGTCAGGAACATCTGGGTGATCCAGGGCAAGTGACCTGTCTAAGCCTCTTTGCCCCTATATGATGGAGCTAATAAGTGTATTACTCATGGATAGTAACTAGACAAATACTTTATTCAAAAGGGAAACTCAGTATGGTAGCTATGAATTTCCTTATCCTAAAAACTGAATTGTTATGGCCTGTCAGAATATTAACTTAAGAATGTACCTCTAAATAGCTGAATGAATGCAACTTTTGGATGGGATTAAAATTTTGAAAGAAGTTTGAGTGTCTACCAAATAGTGATTTTGATTGTACTATAATTCATATAAACTACTACTCTCAGCTTTTCCTAGTCTGATAAGGCCAAATCACAGCATAAAGGAAGAGGCCTATCTTCTCCATATCACAGAAATACATCCTCAATAATTGTGCCAAATTATTTGAATAAAGATTAAAGAGGAGAGGGGCTAAAACTGGTGACTGGTGTTCTCATCTTTTAAGTTGTGAGCAAATGACCAGGGTGCATGAACACTAAACATGCAGGTGTAGAAAATCATGATGGCTTTCACAAAACTCACAAAATAATTGTTATTTAATGGAATATATGTAAATCAGTGTGCTATAAGGTAATGAAGCATCAATGATAATGGTAAATGGTTCATGTGAATTAATACTATTAATTATAGTTCCTAGTTTTTTACTTTTCCTACCATGATTAAGGTCAATGAAAGCAATTTCTTAACACTCTTACATGGCTGAAATGGTAACTGGACAACTAGGGTTGTCTAGCCTCTACTTTCTTGTCTTTCCCTAGGCGTGAAGTTTCCTTTCATGTATTACTTCCCATTTTCCTCCATTTGAAAAGCCTGGAGTTCCCTCTTTGACTTCCTAGGTCTCACCCAATTCTTACTAGGTGACCAGCCTAGTTCTAGAGAGGGCTTAGTGATTATGCTGCAGGAGAAACCCAGGTTCAAAGTAGGGAAGAAAATAAAGTGAGAAAGAAGGGGCTGTGAATTCCTGCCATCAAAGTCTTTGGGGCTAAAGGAATGGGTTAAAATATGTGTAGGTATGAGGGTAAAATAAAAAACCAAGGAGGCATTCCATAAGCTAGATACTTTGTGGCTCAGTCTCTTGAGCACCCTAAAATCAAAACTAATTTTTCCTTCAAAGTCGGCCTCAGGTACAGATTAGTGAAGCTTATGGGCCTGTTTACTACTACACTAAACAGTCCTGGGCTGTAGCAAACACCAAGTCTGCTTCTTAAACAGGGGTTCTTAGTTTGGGATAATGGAAGTCTGTGAACTTGGATGGAGAAAATCCAATTTTTATTTCAGTATAATTGGTTTCCATTGTAATCCTAAGATTTTATTTTATGCATTTAATAACATTCTGAGGAAGGGTTCATCAGCTTTACCAGACTGATCAATGGGTCCATAATGCAAAAATAAATAATAAAGTTAAAAACAGGCTCAAAAAGAACTTGAATGGTAGTTTATTAATTCAAAATGAGGCATTTCAACAACCAGACCAGGGGCAAAAGAAATTCCCCACCACCCCAAAGTGACCCCATGTAGATGTTTTGCCCCTTTAAGCTTTATTAATGCTTGTGTTTACATTACATTTGTTCTATTTTATTTTATCCTCCCTAGCCTAGTGCTCTTCTAAAAAACAAAAACCTAGTTCAGCAAAAACACCTGATGCTATTTGTTTGAGTGTGTTCCCTCATCTATTCCTGACTGGCTGAAATTCCTTTTATAGGAGACAAGGCCTTCTGAGGCTTAAAATGTAAATTCTTTGGAGAGATAGCATTCTGGGGCATAAAATTCACTCTAAGTGGTGGGAGTGAGGGTCTAAAAAGAAGAAAGGTACTTGGCCTTGAAAGTTGTTCAGCTGTGTCCAACTCTTTGTGATCCCATTTAGGGTTTTCTTGGTAAAGATATTGGAGTGGTTTCCCATTTCCTTCTTCAGCTCATTTTATAGATGAAGAAACTAAGGCAAACAGAATTAAGTGACTTTCCTAGGGTCACACAGGTAGTAAGTGTCTGAGACTGGATTTGATATCTGGTCTTCCTGACTCCTCAGACCTGTGACACTATCCACTGTGCCATCCAGCTGC